GATTATTACAAGAATAACAATAAACTGTAATGATGAATCACCGTAACGCTTTAAATCAATGGGACACGTAGAGTACAAACAGGTGAACTGTGACTCCGTGAATATGAATGAATTTATTCATCACCGTTGTAACGGCTTGCTGTAATTACGATGATTATGACTCAAGCTATTATAGGCTTATGTCTGCAATTAGATGAATCAAGAGCTATCTATACTGTTTCAAGGTTTGGTGTCAATGCTCACCACATCCGCTTCCGGCAGATCTTAATATCAACTGTAATAAATATGTGGGAACTGTGGGAAATATAAATATTCTGATTTATAAAAGTAGATCCAGTATAAAGTAGCGTATATTGCAATGTTGAAATGATAAATGAAACTATTCAGAATGTTAAAAATCTAAAATCTGTTAGTACTTAATGAAACATATTAATCGAGCATTGAAAAAATAGGATATAGACTTTTTAGCATCTTCGAGTCGTATCTCCTTAAGGGAAATTAACGCAATTAAAAATGGGTCAAGAATTGTTGTCCCAAGCTGTACATAATCATCTACCCACGTTTAATGTTTCCAAGGTTTGTCGATGGATTCTCTCTCGGCAATTTAAAGGTGCATATCCACTTATCTTGTGATATCATCGTTGCACGCATTATCGTGCACGTACACATCGGTTCATAATTCTTATTGTTAGTATGCGATGTATTATATAATATAACTTTTATTGCTAAACGTATAACTGTATATGTTCTAAGAGTGAGAATGACTAAATGAACATTCTTGATATTTTAATGAATAAACGAAGAAAGTTTTCTTATACAAAATTTAAATTTTTCACGATTTAGGACTATTTACATATTTAAACATGGACGAAATTCAGATTTAATATTTATATTAGTTTATTTTCACAGATAAGAGTTCATGTAAGATCTAATCTAAGTTTCCTAATCAATGAGTTATTTAGCAAAATGTTTTTCCAGATTCTTGCGACGTCAATCCAATCGAAAAAATTAGCAACTCTATAGAATGTTCATTGTTCATTGAAATTATTACACGACAATCGTTTATGTTCTCCTATTTGAAGTATAATTTTATTAGAACGACTCATGTTTCATTGTCCGATTATGACTGGATCATTTACTTAATGACATAGTACAATCTTTCAATTGGGATAGCCTCTGCTGGCTACTAATCTGAACCTTAGAATAACTGCATTTCATTCGAAACCCGGAGTTGAACATAGGTAAGAAATAAGCGACAGATGAATAAAGGTCCTGGTAGATTTCTCAAGATTTCGCGCGTCCGTCTTGTCTTCGATGCGAAAGAGGATGCGAGATGACACGCGCCGTGTCATCCCGTTTCCCGGCAATACAAAGTGTATCCGCCGGAAGCGGACAAAGATATGTGAAAGGATTCGCGAACGTTCGGCGAACGCGAATTATGTATGTATGTATATATGTTCCATGGCGACGAGGAGTATTCGAAAGCGCGATAGAGGCGGACGAACGAGTCTTCCGGGCGAGGAACGAAGGTAGAGCCAAGTAAAGTGCGCGCACATGAACGAGGAAAAGCGTTACAGAGCCTAGATACCGTCGTCTCGCGAGCAGAACAGCGAGAGTGAACGTGACTCAAACGCGACGCATACACAGTTGTTCAAAAGTATGTGGACACCTGCTATTTCTTTAAGAAGAAGCCTTTTTTACACGGTAACAGCATACTTGTATATGTATATATAATGACCGTACGTCTTTTGTTTAGGGATGTTACGACCACACAATCAGTGGCAAAAGTAACAGAGAAGATTGATTTAGAGAAGTTGTATCAAAGATTTGTAAAGTAGAAATTTTGCCTGAAAACTGCATCATTAATCAAATCTAATTCCATTTAAATTATTGATCAGTCTGATAAATCAGGCAATATTTATCAATAACTGCAGCTGTGCATTCGTCATTTATAGACATTAATCATGTGATTTATGATACATGTCCAGAGAATCCCTCGCTTTTTTTCTTATCGAACCGTCGGGAAGGCAAGCAAACAGTTGTATTGAAAAGCTAAGACGAGCTATTGTTAATTGGCTCTCATTACAACTTATTTTAGCTCACGAACCTTTCACTAGCTCCATTCTGTTATACAATAGGATTGGTTTAACGAGCATGCAAAATATGTATGTACGTTCGGTTTCTAATTATGGGAGAAATGAAAGAGTTAAAAGAGTGCACGACCCTAAGGTGACAAAAGTAGAAAGGTGTTAGTCTCCTAGAGGAAATTTTAAATATACATCAAGGTAAATGTCCCACTTTCTGTTCACGTTACAATTTCTACTCACTGGCTTATTTTTCTATTATTTAACATAAAATCATAGGAAAAGAGTAGAAATCGTGACGTGAATATAAATTGAAACATTTAATACACATCTTCGAAATGAAAGGTAAGCAATAGTGAGAAACAAAGCAAAATTAAGTCGTTGTACGATTCGATTTTCTTTTCATTTTTTATTCCTGAAGTAATAAACTATTCATTTTTGTACCTGCCTTTGAGTATACACTTGAAATTTACTTCCCCAGAGACCGGATCTGTCAAGAACCGTACGTATTCGAGGAAAGCAACTCGTGACCGGGATTTAACCCTGTATTTGTACACATTAGCCGCGCTTTCGCAATTTATCGACGATGACGACGACTAGTTTCACCGTCATTGGGGTTTCTAAAGGGGCCGCAGAATTTAGGTCTCGGTAACGACAAGCGAAAAATGAATGCGTCATTATTATGATCGGCACGTTTCACACTCGACGTGCAACCAATCATGTAACATATACTGGCCTCCAAAAAGTTTCTGTCGTCTATGCTTTCGTTTTGACATACTAACCGGATACCAGTTTTCAAAAGGGTCTCTAATTGTTTGAATTCCGTGCCTGAAACCGCATTTTATTAGTCTGTCAGTCTTATTTTTTTAAATCAGTTCACAAGTGGTGGTTAATAACGGTTATATAATCTCTTGTACAGTAGAATTTCATCGAATCACGTAATCGGGAAGAACTGATTTAATAACGATAAGGAATTAATATTTGCAGAAGCTCGGGACTAAAAAGACCGCATGAAATATTCATAACTTGTAACGGGCAGGTCGTTTCGATTCCACACCTAACGTTGTTTACGACGAACCGGTACAGAAAAAAACGAAAGTGAAAAGCGTATCGATACGTTTTTAGTGTACAAATTAATGACGACCACTATGACGCCCATTAAAATATAAGAACCACGAGATTTCGAAGCAGATTGATACGATAAAATATAATTCCGTTTCCGCGTCACTCATAATTTTATTCAAAACGACTTATGATAAAACAGACATTAAACAATTCATCATTGTACATTCTGTACAATTTCTATGGTGAAACCTTAGAGCATTAAGGGTGAAACAAGGTTTAACGTTGAGGTCATACTAGTTCGTCGTTGCGAAAAAGGTACAAATAGGCACTGTTCTACTTCAGTGAAAGTAGCTATAATAAAGCTTTCACCATCAGTTGACCGTTAATTTCTGGTTATTCTTCACTTCACGTACGTACATTGAAAATATCAAATAAAAATTAATATTTATAAGAATGAAAGAAAAAAATAATCGTGCGCTACGAATTACTAAAAGAATGAATCTAGCACCTCGAAAAGTTTGACTTATCGCGTTCTGATACTTATATGTTCGCCTGTAACAACATTTTCCAGCAAACCGTGTACCTATGC